TATAAATAGTATATAAAATTAAAAATATATTAAAAAGTGAGAAATATTATTGAGACAATAATCTTTTTATCTCATCTTTTTATATAATTTGATGTATTATTAAAATTATTTATTCTTTTAATTTATGTGAGATTCATAATATTAAATACATACACTCATTTAATAATATGTAAAAATTATATAAAAAAATAAAATAAAAAAATTATCTCAATAACACCACTATTAAAAAAAGTTAGTGTTTATTCAATTTATCTCTATAAAATAAAAAATAAAAAATAAAAAAACACTTCAATACATACTTTAAAAATAAAATCTTTTAATTTTTTTATTAAATATTTATTAAAATAATATAATTTTGATATAATTCTTTTTTTAATATTTAAATGTAAAGCTGATAGCCTGATACGTACCATCTTCTTAAAAAAATACCCGTTTCTTAAAAGTTAGACGCAATCTTTTAATTTTTTTTAATAAATATTTATTAAAATAATATAATTTGATATAATTCTTTTCTTAATATTTAAATGTAAAGCTGATACGTACCATCTTCTTAAAAAAAATACCCGTTTCTTAAAAGTTAGACGCAATCTTGAAGTTAAATAAATGAAATAAAAAATTACTATTAATAATACAGTAGAAATTAATTTAATACAGGAGTGGCTGTCGTTGTATTTGAAAAAACAGCTGTAAGCTTAGAATGCGGCGTCAATAATGGTCAGACGGAAATTACCAAATGTAGTAAAATTATGGTAATATAAAATCATAAAGGCAAAAACCCTTCTTAAGCTCTTGAACTTACCTCAAAATAGCATTTAAGCCCTTAAATTAAAAAGAAATCAAATCAGCCTTCCAACTCCACCTTTTTGGTGCAAATAAACCCTTATTACAAATTACCTACATGTCTAGATCTAACATGCACTTACTTTGTTTGTTTTATGATGTACACCATTTTCACGTCACTGTTATATGCTTATTTGGCCATCAAATCTAGGGGAATAGTGCATGTTAGAGAACAAATAAATTTAGTGCACCTCAAATCCAAGCGTTTGGGCCATTTGTAATAAGGGTTTATTTGCACGGTTATGGAGTTGGAGG